ATATATATGTTTAGAAACCGTGTCTTTTCTAGGAACTACGTAATGTATCGGTCAAAGGAAATTTGAAAAAAGTCTTGTGGTTCATATCCTTGAGTCGGAACACAACTGTCGTTTTACTCTCAATGCTTATCACGTATTTATTCGAATCCAGTGGAACTCCACTGCCGTATTTGACCTCAGGCAAGTATATTATGCGTGTCCCATTGATCCGTAAAATTTAATATTTCCAGCGAAAGTACGCATGACGTATGTATTCTGTATAAAGTGTCTATTGTTATCGAATCAAACCCGTATTATTTATTTCTCACACTTAATATTAATTATGCATATTATACAATGTTAATGATATTATGTGGTTGGCTAGTTTTTTYGGTATCAAGAGTTATTGTTTTGCGTATTCCTATTTTCTAGTATTATAAAATAACAATAATCGGTCTGTTATAAATTATAATTTTATAATTATTCAACAGACTCGGCAAAAACTGGATTGCCGTCACTACGGTTTCCGCCCTTTGGATACACGTCAGGGAACACGACCGTCACGCTGGCCGAGATGTTATACGAAATCCGGTCTGCAATTTTCATCATACCACTTGTATCGGTGCTGGCTAACGTGTCAATTGCTAAAACTTATGGTAAACGCAATGTCATGTGATTATTATTATTATTATCATTATTAATCATCGTATCGACGAGAGGATGAGACTGTTGGAGGGAAGTGAAGTGGCGGAAATGGATGGATAAGCTGTTGTTACTCGACTGCAGCAGATCATCGATTATAATAAAGGATATACTTTGTTATATATTATTTAATCAACATTCTGGTCAAAAATCGGCTAATTAGTATATATTTGTATAACTAAAATCTAAATATTAAATGGTTAAATGTACATATAGCCGGATATAGGTTATTATAATTTATAAGTAATATGAATTTTCGTTTCGACTACCCTGGAACACTGTTATTGTAAATTTGTACCTATTGTCTCGTAATGTTGCTATCTTTTATTAAAAGTATTATTCTAAGTCGATATATCATGTTAGTTACTGCTGCAAACATGGTCTTGTTTTTATATTCTGAGAAAAGTTTCACAAATACCCGCGAGTGAAACGTTAACTAGATTCAATCATAGTATTTTTTTATTGTATAAATTATACTATTCAAAAAAAGAGATTCGAACGATCGAAAATAGACGAATTTATTACAGAAAAATCACTGTAAAACATATTATATCAACTCTGCACAACGTTTTATGAACGCATTTATTTGTATGCCGACAAGAGACATGACTGCAAGTCGCAAGGTTTTCATTTCAACAGATTTTTTTCTATTGAACAATCAATAGAGATGTTAGACTCTAAGTTTTAACTATTGGTTTCCTGTTATGATCAGACTATACTCGATATAATATAAAGTCTATATAATAATATTTTAGGAAGAAGCTCTAAGTCCTCAGCCAATCAACATTGAAAAATTAATTAATTATTTAAAACAAATAACTAAACTTTATCAACTAATTTAATCTACGTAGATATATTTCAATCCTTTTTTTTCATACTATTATTATTGTTATGTATATAATTTTATTGTTAAGCTTCATTCTTGTGTAAAAAAATATTAATGCTTAAGGCCAATAACCTCTGTTGTTGAGGCTCAATTAAAATAAAATATAATATTTTAATATATAAAGTAAAATATCACATAGGTTATTGTTATATGGCATCTGATGTTTTTTCTAATTTTTGTACTGTGCTTTAGCTAACGGAGGTATAGTAGAGGCGACGCAGGAGATGCTGGCTTTGGGCATGTGCAATATAGCAGGGTCGTTCATCATATCGATGCCCACGTGCGGTGCGTTCACTCGGAGTGCCCTGAGCCAAGCTAGCGGTGTCCAAACGACGTTTTCTAACATATACGCCACCGGTTTAATATTATTGTCCATCATGTTCCTCACTCCYCATTTTCATCTCATCCCTAGGGCGGTACTGTCATCAATTTTAATCAGCGCTGTATTGTTCATGGTAGACTATCAGATAGTCAAACCTCTTTGGAAGACCAACCGTGAGTTGATTATTTTTCTTAAAATATGAATATATAATATAGCTATGTTTTACGCCATATTGTAATCTTTGTGCTCTCTCGTTTGTACACACAAAAATAAGAATGTCTTCGTTCTACAATAATCTTTTTAGTTTTTATACACAATTGTAGACTAGTATTATATAAAAACGTAAGTTTTGTATACATTTAGGGGCACCGCGGTA